ATTTGTGTCTCTTCTCCACTGAGCCATATGCACCATAAAGGCAAATGTCATGTCTACTGTATTCACTCTTTTATAGGTAGTATTTTGTAGGCATCCAGAGAATATTTGTCAGATAAATGAATGCATATGATGAAGTGAATGAACATGGGTAATGTTGGTGCATGAAGTGCTGCAGAGTAATTATAGGCAGTCTGTAATTTGAATTTTTAACAAGTGGTGTGTAGATTTACAAACATGACTATACCATTTGGAGGTTTACATAGATTTTGCCATGAGAAAAAGTTCTTCCTGGGAAACAATATCAAGAATCACCAATTTGGGTCAAATAAATACATTTACAGATAGATATTCATGTAGCTATCAGAGATGCCCAACAAGAGGGCTCACATATGGATTCCTTCAGCTTTCAGAGAAGTAGGATAGAGCCTAGGGCAGCTGACCCAATTGGCACAATATGCTGTACCCACTTTCTATGAAAGTTTGACATAAAATAATTTCCAACGTGCTTCTATATGGGAGCAATATGAAGCTGTTTTTTTGTTGTTTGCTGCTTTTTTTTTTAAAGAAGTGATTGAGATTTTCAAAAGCAGTGAGTTGCATCAATGAGGCTAAACTTGAATCAGTCTAAAATACTATATGTTCATTCAGATTGCTACCAAAATGACATCAATTAAGTGTATATAATAGCATTATAAATATTTATAACATGATGGATGTTAAAATGAAAAAAGTAGAATATAAAGGCACTATAATTGTAAAACATAATAACAGTTTTTATAGTTGTACTTAGACTGTGATTTTTATCTACCTTACTATATTATTTCTATTAAAGTGAAAATAAACATTTTAATAAAAATAGACATAATTATAAACAATACACTGACTTTTCCCCCCTCTGCACAACCATAACCTGGGAATATAGCTGTGACAAATGTAAATCACCTTATTATAGAGCAATTTTTATATGAAATATTTTTATTATCAACTATTATAATTAGCAAGCTAAGTTGACAAATAAATATATATCAGTAGATATGTTTTTATTCAGAGAAAGAGCTGTTTTGCTTACAACTTCAGAGTATAGTATTTAGCCATTAAGTCATCAATGATAGTATAACTTGAATCCATCTTCTGTATATCTACCCCCAATATTTGAAAACACTTATTCATAAAGATGTAAGTACCCTATGTTCATTGCAGCATGTTCTAAAATAGGCAAGACAGACAAAGAATTATTGGATAAAGAAGTGGTACAAATATATATAATAGAATACTACTCAACCATTTCTGACAACATGGATGAATCTTGAAAGTATCGTGTTAAGGAAAATAAGTCAGATGGAAACGACAAGAACCATATGATTTCACCTATATGTGAGATATAAAACAGAAAGCCACAGGCAAACAAACAAACTTATAGACAAAGACAACAGTATAGTGGTTACTAGAGGGGAAGAAGGTGGGGAGAGGATGAAGAGGGTAAAAGGTTTCATATACATGGTGATACAAGGAGACTAGACTTTGGATGGTGGGCACACACTAGAATATACAGATGATATATAGAGAATTATACACCTAAAACATATAATATTACTAACTGATGTTGCCCCAATAATTAAACCATATTTTATTTTTTAAGAAATAGTCTGTATTCATATATCAGAAATACTTGTAGTGAAGTAAAACATTTATGTTTTCTACTTGATATTTCGAGATGGTTATGTTTTTTAGAAGACAAGGTATAGATGCGGAGTAAGGTCTCACCACCCAAATAGTGATATATCACAGTAAGTATATTTTATTCTTAGAACTAAACAGTGAACATAATCATTGAGTTATACATCACTCTCTCTACTAAACTGCAAATTTCTCCGTGTTAGAAAATAGTTTTCTATTCTGTATGCACATTGTAAAGCACAATGCTTAATCCATCATAAGTTTCTAAATGTTTATTAAAGGAGTGCATATTCTCAGAGGGAAATAGTGTGTATCTTTCAGCATACATGCTACCTTCTACTCTAAATGAGGTTTAAGGATCTTTAGCTTTGATCTGGTGTCGTCTCTCCTAATGTCTTTGTGATTACAACTCCATATTTAGGAAGAGAAGCCCTTAGTGGATTATTGGCAGCAATTATGAGAAGCTTAAACATGCCATAAAGGCAAAGTTTCTGTCAAGAATAATTTCCTTTGTAGAAAATGCATCTCTTGAGATAGGCTGGGAGCACATATCCCACAGTGGGGAGTTTTGAGAACTATTTCCCCAGGATAGTTCTCTCAAGCCCAGCTTCCTGGACCAGCCACTCGAGCTGAATGCTTGGTGTGGTTTTTCTCAAAGGGATGACCTTTTATTCTGTGGACTCATTAGGCCACTGGTACCTGATTATGCTAATAGCATAACTGTTCCACACAACTGAGTTTCAAAACGTCTCAACTGAATTGATCTTTATGGTCAGTACTTTTTTTTTCTTTTTACCCAGATAGGCATGTTAGTGAGACACTACCAACAAAAATTTCACATGGATAAATAATATGATCATTTTACTTGGATTTTAAGAAATACTAATCTTACCTTTAATGAATTTTGCAAAAGCAAGGGGACCTTTAAAAAATAAAGCTTACACAGTAGAGCCAAAGCAACAGTTAAGTTCTAAGTGGCACAGGTTTTGTGATCTATATAAAAATGTTGTGGTATTAACAGAATTATAATGATACTTGGAAGAAATTACATCCTTGCCCTAATCACTGCAATGTTGGCAAACCTTATAAGTTCCTAAAATACAAAGTGAAGGTTCACTGAATTTAAGATGAAAAAAATCCAACACGGAGAGACAAAACTATTAACCCATATAAAGGTTTAAACTTGTAATTCAACTAAAAAGCTTTCCCTGGGGAATAATTCACAATTTACCTCTCTTGAGTGATAGGATATCTAATTAAAAAGATGCTACCAACTTCAGAAATCTTCAGCTATAAATTATTAGAAAGCTATAAAGTGCTAATACTGTTAAAGGCATAAGTACACCTCCATCAATATGTATGTTAGTTTGTGTTTATGTACTTATGTATGTATTTATTTATTTGGCTATTTTGAGGAATAAAGGTTACATTATCAATCTCCCTAGAATTTGGATTAATGGTTTTAATTTGTTTTCATCAAACAATTCTCATTTTTAAATAATTATAAATATTAAGAAATGTGGATTATGCAGTCATTTGGATTTAGTACTAAATAAAAAAATTCAAACTGATCTTACTTTTTAAATTCAAGTATAAATATATAATGACTACTTTATAATTCTGTCAAATTTATGGTCAAATAGTAGTTCAAAAATTTTGAACTACTTACTGGTTCAAAAAGTTTAATCATAATTAATCTTTATTTTAACTAAATAATAATAGTTTAATAAAAATTATATTTATGAATATTTTCCAGACTGGGTTTAATTTTTTGACATGCTATCAGAGTGAGAGTAGTTTGCCTACATAATGTTAGAAAATTCTTTCAGATATAATTATTTTACATTATAGATATGCAATATTATCTGTAAATCAAACCATATATCCAATGCATTAGGTTATGTTTCTAATGATTACTCGTACCGACAATATCATCCACTTTTATATCAATTTATAATTTACAAAGTATTTTTACGTGTCACCATCATTTAAATAACAAAAATACCATTTTAAAGTAAGACAATGAGATTAAGAGAGAGATGTTAAGTTCTGACAAAGGTAACTTGGCTGGAAGTCAGAGCGCCAGGAGCAGATCCGAGGCTTCCGGCCCTTGTTCAGGGCCGGATTTTTACATACTGTCTGACTCTCTGGCAACATAAAGAACTGCCACCACCCCTCTTTCTAATTGCCTGAATCTGAATTTCAGTGAGTTTGTTTTCTTATTATCTTTAGATGAAACATGTCAAGGTGAATCCATAAATGCCCAGAATTCATGAGATGCACACAGTTATCTTTGCAAAGCCAAGAGCAAACTGAGGAGGATGCAACTAGCTCACAGTCGCTTTCCGTCACTGACCAAGTCCACGCCTGTGGCCAGCCTCATCACTGAGTAGAGGAAATCTAAGTTATGCAAAAACTTTAATCAGTGAACAGTTCTAAAGTTTAATAGGGAAAGAGAAGTAGATCAAAGAATACTTTAGGATAAAAAACAACAACAACAACCTTTGACTTTTTTTAGAACTAGACCAAATTTTTCATCTTCAGAGATTATCAAGACAAAAAATATTTTATTTCTTTTGGTTTTAGGTTATCACAAAACCAACTAATCAAATTCTGCCCCTAAACTATCTATTTACTGATAAATTTTGTTGATTTAATCTTTCAGGTATCCTGTATGATATCAAATACAAAATTATTTTTACTCAAATTACTTCATCACAGAATAGAGGGGAGGATTATACAGATCACAATTTTTAAAAAGTAACCTACAATTTTTTCAGAAAAAGCCAATGTAAAATTACTTCAAATATTTGTAAAAAAAAAAAAAATCTGTGCCTTAAAGCAAATTATTCTAGTAGAGAAAATTGTATTTTGTTTTACAAAAATGAAAATTAATGGGATATGTATTACCTCATAACATTCTGAAAACAGTGCCGCCCAAGTTCAATGCAAAGCAATGATGTATTCACTCAGGAAAATATTTTCCAGCCTTATTATTTTTCATACAATTCCACAAACAACTATTGAACACAACAACCATTCATTCAGAAAGTATTTTCAGTGGGAGAAATAATGTGTTTACACTCAATTTTTTATGTTGAATTTTAAACTAACCATTTTCTTTGTTGAGATAATATTCCATACAAAAGTAAGAATACTATGCAGTAATTACCTTTAATGGTTTGCTTCTCTTTCTTCTTACGTAGCTTCTTCCCATCAGAGTGATGGACTTGGTTAAGTCCAACCAAAATTTTATCTTATTTCTACTCAAAATCACTTTTAAAATCAAGATTAAGGCCAAAGGGGGGGAAAATGTCACTTACTTTGCTTTAGCTTCTGCATCCTCATATGCTTTATTAGAAACATCCTCCAATCCTCCAATCAAATGCTTGAAAGAGCTGTTAGGGGCAAAACATAGTGAAAAGGATAAATCCTCTATGAAGCTGTAACAATGACAACCTAGTCAATGATATATCAAAATACTCTAAAAGGATCTAATGAAAATTAAAACACTTAACCTAGAAACATTATTAATACACATATCAGATAATGATATCAACTCTGTGGGAGCAGGGACCTCTTCAGTCATGTTCATTTCTGTAGTTCCCACCACTGAGAACCATAGCTGGCAAAGCCGACAGTCAAAGAATTGGGTAAAATAAAGTCTATGGCACCCTGATACATATCACAAAGTTAATAAGTCAATTACAATGATGAAATAATAAGACCTATTAGTTATTAAATGCCTAGTGTATTCCCGGCACTATTCTTTTAATTCTCATGAACATATATTCATTTCAATTCTGAAACAAACTAAAAAAATAAGAATCATTAACTCTATGTGAAATAGTAAAATAATCTTCAAAGGCAAAATAAGAACTAACAGGAGAGAATTACAGAAAAATCATCTCACTCTGGAGAAGTAAAGAACTGACTTTAGCATAAACCAGTGATGGCGAACCTTTTGAGCTCGACGTGTCAGCATTTTGAAAAACCCTAACTTAACTCTGGTGCTGTGTCACATATAGAAATTTTTTTGATATTTGCAACCATAGTAAAACAAAGACATATTTTTGATATTTATTTTATATATTTAAATGCCAATTAACAAAGAAAAATCAACCAAAAAAATGATGTCATAGGTTCGCCATCACTGGCATAAACTGCGAAGAGTAATATATCTGCTTAAACCCTATCTATTCAATATTCTATGTTCAGATCTACTTTATATATTGAAGTCTCTTATATATCTATAAAATATTACAGAATTGGAACAAATTAATACACACACAGGAATCACTCTTGAAAATTACTGCATGTAACACATACAGTAACTCTTATGCACACTACATTTTGGAAACCATTGAACTATAATGAATGAAGAAACAAAAGGCAAGTCTGTGTTTACAAAATCATCAGAGCCCTCCCTTACATGGTGCTTATATTGCTGGTATTGTTCTACCCACTTTACATGTAGTAACAAATACTTCAGTAGTTACAGATATCCTATGATTTAGTATCATCCCCATTCTATAGATGAGGATACTAAGGAATGAGAGGTTAAGAAACTGACCTAAAGTCATGCAGCCAAAAGACTGATAGGGAAGGAGTGGCCATTCTCTTTTATACTCTTACTAGAGGCCCGGTGCACAAAATTTGTGTACTTGGGGGCGGGCGCGGGGGGTTCCCCAGCCTGGCCTGTGCTCTCTCACAGTGTGGGAGCCCCACCATCGATCTCCCCAAAAAGGTAGGCCCCACCCACCCATCTGGTGCTCCTCAATGGATTGCCCCAAAGAGGTAGGCTGGAGCCGGGGGACCCGCCTCTGCACCGTGTGGAGCCGCAGGACCCCCGGCGTCGCCGTGTGGAGCCGTGGGACCCCTGTCATCGCTACATGGAGCCGCCAGGACCTGCCTCCACACCGCACATGCAGCGTCAAGTCTCCGCCCACCTGTGGGCACTTTTCCTCACACACAGCCCTGCCCTCCCCCGTGCACCCGCTGAACATTCAGCCTCCTGGTGATGGATTGTTACCGCGTCAGGGCATCACGGTGTGAATGCATGATGACCACACAGGCCTTGATTAGTATAGATACCTATACTACAGCTCCCACCTAATTCCTGACTGTCTTGAAGATAACTATCACATCTCTAACAATATTTGAGGTACGTGTGGAGAGTTTTAAAGTGCTGAAAGAAATTGCATTTTGATTTAAACCTCTATTATCCTAATGCATGCAAATGGCTTTGTATGTGGTATTAAAACAACAAAATATGGATACTCAGGTTCTCAAACATAGTAGGATGTTTGCTGATTTAAATTTAAATATTGTTTAGTCACTTTCACATAAACTTTTTAAAAAAACCTATAAAGAGGAACCTGACACTCTGCTTAGGACTGATTTGTGGTTGGGGGAGTAGCTGTTATTTCAGGCCCTTAAGTGATGATCTCATCTGGGGGACAGGGTAACTAATGCTGGCTAAATACACTATGTTTTAAAAAAAAAACCTTCTTATTTATTGATTTTAGAGATGGGGGAAATGGGGGAGAGGAGAGGGAGAGAGAGAGAGAGAGAGAGAGAGAGAGAGAGAGAGAGAGAGAGATCCATCCATCCATTGTTTTATCTATCCATGCATTCAGCGGTTAATTCTTATATGTGCTCTGAGCAGAGAATCAAAGCTGAAATATTGGCCTATCAGGATGATAATCTAATCAACCAACTGAGCTACCTGGCCAGGGCTACACTAATTATTTCTAATACACAAAGAAAATGACCAGACAGAGGCCCGAGGAATCAATGATCTTTACTTAGAAAGCAATCCTGACCAAATAATATTTTTCAAAACAGGCAACAAATGCATCATGAATTCTAAGCTTCCTTCACAAGAGATCAAGCATCATACTTAACTAAGAGTTTTAAGAAAATGTAGGATTTTCAAGCTATATTAAGAAGTTCCGTGTGTCCTGCACTGATCATTGAATAATTTATCTTGCTAAACATAATTGATGACATTACAGAACACATCCCTCCTGGTGCAAGTAGGCACTAATTAGTGGTTCGGTTTTCCCTCTCACTAATATCTGTAGGAACACCTGCTATCTGTGTGGACCTCATCAAAGACATTTGGAAACTTATTACCTGTAAGTATCAGATGCCTTTTTAAATATTTACTCAGGTCCTCTGACATTTCTTGAATACTGAAGGAGAAGGCTTGTTGATGTTTTATTTGGAGAGGGATTATGATGAAATGATTTGAAAATTTCAACTGAATGAGCAGAAACACAAAAATATTATATATCAGTTACTATAACAAATATAGGAGACTATAGGAAAATCATGAAATTATTTTTTAAACTAACAATTCATGAATGAGTTATATTTTAGTACCATAAAATAGCCACTTTTACATATACTCTAGACATAATTTTAGAATAAATGAAGAAGACATTAGTGAGCAAAAGATTTTAACACAGAGTGTGTAAGGAAACCTTATTGCAGGCACACTAAGTATGAGACACTTTCCTGTTACTTTTCTTTGGGTGTGAAAACCAATTTTTACAAGTCTTGACAGAATGTTTTGATGAGGTAGATAAATTATTATTCATTGAGTACACGGCAGTATAAGAGCAAATGGAAAATCTATTTTATGTTTAATGCTGGTAATTTAAACATACTTGCAAAGGAGGGGTAGAAAAGAAAGAAGGTAGGAGGGAGGAAGGAATGAGGGAAGAAGAGAGACGGGAAGGAGGAGAGGGAGGAAAAAATGGCAGGAGAAATGATGATCCTTTCACATCAAGAACGTTATTTATAAATTTTTTTTCTTAAGAACTAACATTTAGCCCTGGCCCGTGTGGCTCAGGTGGTTGAGCATCAACCCTGCTCTAAGAGGTCACCAGTTCAATTCCTATTCAAGGCATATGCCCCGGTTGTGGGCTTGATTCCCTGTAGGGGGCTTGCAGGAAGCAACCAATGGATGTTTCTCTCTCCCCCTCTCCTTCCCTCTCTAAAATCAATAAAACCATTTTGTTAAAAGAAATAACATTCAAAATGCTGTGTTTCTCATTCTAGGAAATTTGCCTGTTTTAGAACATTAGAGTGACAGTAACTCAGTGGGTAGTAATTTCATTTACTGATGTTTTCATTATTAAGCCAAAACATTCTTCTGAAGGGAGCTGATTACTTGGTGGTATGACTAACAGTGTATAATTTTGTTCTTCAGTTGTGATATGATGAGACTTCATCTAGAGAGAAACAGGGTATTATTTATGAAATAGGCAGTCCAAATTTCAGAGACCAGCATTATCATGCTGCTAAAAAAAATACCAGCATTGATATTTCACTTTATAGTTTATAAAGCACTTTTTATATTTATATATTATGTATGTATTCAATAACTTATATTAGTCAATTTAGTCCTCATGATTTCCTATCCTCTATTCCACGATATTATTCAGGAATTCTTGTAAGGAAATGTTTAAAATGCAACTTTTTCAAATTCAAAACAGGGTGTGAGAAAAATCTCAACAATTAAGTTTTTTTCTTGATTAAATCCTTCAATAAGATGGTAATCTATTTTTTTCTTTGTTTAAAATATATTTTTATTGATTTCAGAGAGAAAGGGAGAGGGAGAGGTTAGATAGAAACATCAATGATGAGAGAATCATTGATCAGCCGCCGCCTTCATGCCCCCTATTGGGGATCGAGCCTTCAACCCTGGCATGTGCACTTGCCCGGAATCAAACCCGGGACCCTTCAGTCTGCAGGCCGCTGTTCTAGCCACTAACCAGCGGTTCTCAACCTGTGGGTCGAGACCCCTTTGGGGGTCAAACAACCCTTTCACAGGGGTCGCCTAAGACCATCCTGCATATCAGATATTTACATTACGATTCATAACAGTAGCAACATTACAGTTATGAAGTAGCAACAAAAATAATTTTATGGTTGGGTCACAACATGAGGAACTGTATTTAAAGGGCCAGAAGGTTGAGAACCACTGCACTAAGCCAAGCCTACTAGGGTGGTAATCTATTCTTAACAGTTAAAATTAAGTCAAAATGAGTTAAGAGTAAAATCTTAAACCAGAAAACTATTGCAAATATTTCAATGGTGCTAAGCAAAATATTTGTCAAGCATCGCCTAAACTCCTGAGAAAACCTTCTTAATTTGTATAAAATTACAGCTCATTAGAATTTCCTAACCTGAATCTTGGCTAAGTTCCTTAAAATGTATTTACTAAAAGGAATGAGAAAGTGTCCAAAATTAGTTGGGGCACTTGCTACTTAGCTAAGTCCAAGATTTTAGAGGCATCCTTCATTATTTTGATACTTTGAATCGAGAAAAATCTGTTCATCCATTTTGTGGAATCAGGTAAAGGCGCTTATGTTTATTTTTTGTTTGT